GGGCTAGCAGTGGTGGTAGCTGAAGTAGCAGGATCTGAATGGGTGGTGGTTGAGAGGGATAGTGATGGTGGAAACGTCTACAGGAGTGGATGCTGGGGTTTATCCTACCATCCTCCCAGGAAAAAGAGTCCCTAGAGACTCCTAGGGAGTTAGCACCCACAACTTCTAACGTGAAATCCGTCGGACCTGGTAGGAGTTGCCATGACGTGCTGTTCGCTCTTGCCCTCCAGGAGGAAAACAGGTGCATGCCTAGCAGTCCGGATCCTGAGAGATGAGTGTTTCTCTAAGGTTTTAGGAGGTTTGCCCCCAGCCAAAGAAGGCCCCTTTCTTAGGGCCAGTCCCTTTCCGACCACAAGCTGACATCCGATGACTGGTTGATGTGAGAATAAAGAGGTGGTTTTCCTGCCAAGCTGTGGTGCCACTCGAATGAGATGCTCCGGGTCCACGGTCCCAGGAAGACCACCGAGGCCTCTGATGGAATGGTCGTGCCGCTCAGTTCTGGTCACGGATCAGTTCTGCGCTTCCTACCAGGTGCTGTGTGAGCGAGAGGAGAATGGTGTTTGATAGAGTTACCCGTGCCTGGTTTTTAAGAAGTTGATCTCCAAGCGTTTCTTTCGACGAGAGTTGGACCTGCGATGTTTTGGTTAGCAGTTGAGGGCGCTAACCATTTGCCCCTCCCAGGAATTCCTCCCTTGCTCTTGCCTGCCCATAGTTGTTCAGTACTGGCAGCGTCCGCCAGTGAACTTCTTGAATACAAATCAGGATGACAGAATTAGCTTCCTGGGGAACTCGATGTAAAACAGTCCCGGAAAACCCTATAGAGCAGCGGTTCTCAACCTGTGGGTCGCGACCCCTTTGGTCATCAAACGACCCTTTCACAGGGGTCACCTGATTCATAACAGTAGCAAAATTACACTTAGGAAGTGGCAACGAAAATAATGTTATGGTTGCGGGGGGTCACCACCACAGGAGGAACTGTATGAAAGGGTCACGGCATGAGGAAGGTTGAGAACCATTGCTGTAGAGGATGCTCTGTGTTGGAATCCGCTGGAGGGAAGTGGATTTGTGTTTGGGTTTTTAATTGACATTTATACAATAGGACACTTAACGACTACAGAATACGCAATGTTTTACAAGTCCATGGGGCAATCAACATAGACCGTGTTTGGCTGTAGCTTAGCCTCCATGAATCTCAAGGATTAAAACATACAGTCTAAGTCTATTACTTAAAAAGGAATATTAAGATATATAATTTCATATGTATAATATTAAGATATATAATAATCATCTACTATTTAGAAGAGCACTGGAATTTGGAAATTAAATACTTTGAAATAATACATGGGTCAAAAAAGAAATCATAAAGGAAATGAAAAACACTCTATCAAATTATAATGAAAATACAATGTGTCGACACTTGGGGGAGGCAGCTGACACAGTTCTTAGAGGGAAGAATATAGCTTTAAAAGTGCTTGTATTAGGGGAAAAGAAAAGTTTAAATTAATGATGGAAAAAAAAGAAGAGCAAATCCTTAAGGCCAAACTGAGAAGAGATAAATACATAAAGATAAAAGTAGAGGTACTGAAGGAAACACTTACCTGGTCCTCCACATCCCCACAGTCGTTCTCCGCCTGAGCCCATCCTGGCAGCCACGGTGTCCATCCATCTTGTTGAGAGCCTTCCTCTTTCCCACTGCCCAGCATGATGTCCTTCTCCAGGGCTGTTCCCCCAACAACAGGTCCAGAGCACGTGAGACCAAGTCTCACCATCCTTGCCTCTAGGGAGCACTGGGCTGTGCTTCTTTCAGGACAGATTTGTTTGTTTGTCGGTCAGTCCACGGTACTTAGATTATTCTTCTCCAGCATCAAGTTAGACACACCGATTCTTCTTCTGTCTTCCGTTTTTGGTGTCCAACGTTCACATGCATATGAGACATTGAAAATACCATGGCTGGGGTCAGGTACACCCTAGTCCTCCAAGTAACACCCTTGCTTTTCAATCCTCTAAAGAGGTCTTGTGCACCAGATTTACCCAAAGCAGCTCGTCTTTTGTTGTCTTGACTGTTTAACACTGATTGTGAAGTTAGTCAGTCACAAAAGAAAAACAAATTTTCATTAAAGGATCATTGTATTGGGGGCTCATACAGCTCTTACAACAACCCACACATCAGTTATATCAAGCGTATTTGTACATATGTTGCCATCATCATTTTATAAATATTTACTTTCTATTGAGCCCTTGGTGTTTTCCTCTCTCCCTCAAAAGGATAAATATTTTGTGAGACCACTGATATAAAGGAAAAGGGGGGAATGACAAGGATGTTCATACTTTCTAGTTCAGGGAATGGTCGGGAGAGGTGAGGCAATAGGATCGAAGGTAGGCAGGTGTTCACTTGGGTAAAGGCAGTATTTGTTCTACAGCAGGGAGAAGAGAAATCAACGCGGGTGCAGGGCAACACACTGGGGGGTTTGAGGAATCATTTGAATGCTAAGTACAAAATCGATTACCTAAGATGTAAACCCCCTTCTAATTCACAATTGAAAAAAAAAAGTGTAGGGTCAGGGAAAAAGAGGAAGCTCCTTATCAAGACGGCCTGGCACAATCGCTGCAACAATGGGTTTCAACAGGAGTGGATGGTGAGGACGGCCCAGCGTTCTGCTCTACTGTAGGTCGGGTCACTGGGAGCGGAAACCTACGGAATGCCTGGTCACAACAACGAGAACGTAAGAAAAGAAAAGAACATCTTTGTGCGCTTGGTGTTGGCAAAGACTTTGTAAAGAACAGATCCAGGAAGCACGAATTTTACAAGACACGTTCGATCAATTCAACTTCCTCAAAATGAAAAACATAATCAGAACCCCTGAAGATCTATATGTAGTATAGGATTTCATATAGGCATATCAACATGTTCACATGGGCATAGGGAACCCTGGTGATGCAGTGCTTAAATGCCTTGGTTGCGAGTGGACTGGTCAGTAGTTTGAGCCCACCGGCTGCTCTGTGGGAGAAAGACATGGCAGTCTGCTTTCGTAAAGATCACAGCCAGGGAGACCCGAGGGTGGCAGTTCTAGTCTGTACTACAGGGTCGCAAGGAGTCAGAATCGACTAGCTAAGTATAATTTTTAAAGCCCACACACATATCCATACATGTATGCATGAATTTATAAAATATAAAATACTCTCAGCAGCCAAATGTGGAATGACAGTGTTCCCCAGTGCTATAAAATTTTGTTTTTCTCACCGGTACATTTTGACCTCGAGTAAGCCATTCACTTTTTTCTTGTTTTGCAAGAGCTGTTTAATTCTGCCAGATGTCTGCTCATGAAGGAACTAAAAAGGTGCCACGCAGACTGGCAGAAAATGTCCCCAGTTCCCATGTCTCCAGCCTGCCTTCAGAACCCCCACCAGTCAATACGAAAATGCACAGAACCACCGTTGACAAAGGGCAACGAGCTTCAGTGGGCACTTTGCCTAAGAAGCCGCCTCAGGAGCCCCTCCGCTTCATCGGTTCGCGTAGCAACATGCATGAAAGCCGCCAGCACTAGTCTGCACTTGCTAGAAAGAGTGGAAGGAGCCCCGACTTAAGAGCTCGGCTGCTAACCAGAAAGTCAACCCTTTGAACCCACGAGGCACCAGGGCAGCTGGTGGCGCGGCATCTACAAGGTTGGCAGCTCAAATCCACTGGGATGCAGCAGACAAGACATCAAGAGACGAGCTGCCGTGGGTCAGTCTGGTGCACAAGACCTCAGGGATGCTACCTGGAGGACCAAGGTGCAGCTGACCCAGAACTTTCTGGGGGGATCGAGTGGTTCTGAAGCTTGAGCCCATCGAGGCAGCCACTGTGTCAATCCGTCTTGGTGAGGGCCTTCCTGATCGTCGCTGCGTCTCTGCTTTACCAAGCGTGCGGTCCTTCTTTTGATACGTCTAGTGTGTGCATTTATCAGAAAAGGGCACAAATGCCCTTCACACTTACTCATTGTACAATTAGTCAGTGTTCCTTCAATAAAATGATTAAAACCCTGACCAAAAACGGCAGACAAGTTTATGCCCGGGGTTTACATAATCCTTATTCTCCCTGGGATATTCTGATCTCAAATCTGATCTTAAATGTCTTTTCTTCTGTTCAGAAAAGCAATACATATTGTATTCCAGGAAATCTGGACGGCACAGATAAAGGAGGAAGCGGAAGAAGGAAAAAAAACTGAGGGATACAAACGCATGACCCAACTCTAACCGTGGTCAATGCCGTGCTATCTTTACAAAGTGATTTCACTGTGAGGTGACCGAAGTCATTCTATGAGCCCTGGGGTCACAGCTGTTAAAAGTAATTTGTTTTGAACTAAAAAGTCAGTGGTTCACAAACAGATGTGACTGGCTGCTCCTGTGATGATCCGCTATAGGAGACCCTCCGGGGAAGACCACTCTGTCCTACACGGTCAAAATGAGCAGGAATCAACTCAAGAGCAGGGGGCTTGGTTTTCTTGTTTGTTCGTTTTAGTCACTCGGTATGTAGCCTTTTGTATCGTGATTTTTTAAAAGTTAAAGTTACATTACAGTTACTAAGAAGAAAACCACCCAAAACCTTCTCAAGTACTTTTGAATAGCCACAAATGATTTCCATACTGTGGTTTATTTGTTCCTTACTGTGTTAGTGAGTGTTGAGCTGCTAACCCATGCTTTGCTGGGGTGAATAATACTGGGTTAGGCCGCTCGGCTCACGGACTGCTTCTGCAACCCTGATCATTTCTTTGGGCTTGAATTCCAGAAAATCCAAATCCTGGGTGAGACGGGCATGCATCATTTAAGCCAAAACAGTGCCTTTCCAAAAGGTGGTTCCAGTTCACACCTCCACCCCCATCGGGGCTGGAAAGGGCCGTGTCTGTTTGCCCTGGAAGGGGAGGAGGGCCTTACCTCTAATGGGTTCCTTGGCTTGTTTCCAGCAGGCCCCAGAAGGCAGCGGCGGTGAACTGCTGGCGGTACGAGATCTCCGGTGAACTGCTGGTGGTCCGAGATCTCCGTGTCTCTTCAGGCCCCGGGTCCTCTCAGCCCCTTTCTCTGGCGGCCTGCGCTCAGGGCCCCACCAGACAGCAACTGGGGAGGAACCAGCCATCGCCACGCACAGCCATGAATTTCCTCCGGAGGCGCTTGTCCGACAGCAGCTTCGTGGCCAACCTGCCCAACGGCTACATGGCCGACCTGCAGCGCCCAGACAGCTCCACCAGCTCCCCTGCCTCCCCGGCCATGGAGAGGAGAGCCCAGCCCCTGGCCGCCTCCTTCTCCTCCCCAGGATCCAGCCTCTTCAGCTCCTTCTCCAGTGCCGTGAAGCCCACCCCACAGGCCCCCTTGGGACTGATGGAGCCGCCAGCTCCTGCCACACCTGTGGTGCAAAGGCCCCGGGTCCTCCTGGTGATTGATGATGCCCACACCGACTGGTAAGCAGGCACCTGCAGGTGCTCGCCATCATGCAGAGAGAGGAGGAGGCCGGGGTTGGCTCGCCTCCTGGAGGGAGGAGCACGGGGTGGGAGAGCGCCAAGAGAGAGGCTCAAGTGGTATCCTGGTACCAGAGCCTGACGAGAGCGGCAGCAATGGGTGCTTTGCTAGGCGGCTTCTGCGTGCCAGGTGTCATAGCACCTGTTTCACGTTCGACTCCTTCGCTTGTCAATGCTTTATTGTTGTTAAAATATAGCGAACACAAACCCACGGGCGTCGAGTGGATTGATACTCGGAGTAGAACTGTCCCGTAGGGTTTCTGCACCTGCCAGTCCTTACAGCAGCAGACGGGCTCGTCTTTCCCCTGCGAAGTGGCTGGTGGGTTCAAACCACAGCCCAGTGCTTAAGGCACAGCACCACCAAATATGCCAAGTTAATATTTCCCCCACATCTAATATAGTAAAACCAATGGCATCCGTCATGTTGGATAATGCTCACCAATATCTGTGCCGAATTTCCCATCCCCTAAAAACAACCTGTGTTACCTAAGCATTCTCCCTGTTCCCAGGTCCTCCTGCCCCTGCTAATCTCCATTAATCTCTGATCATGGGACTTTTTCATACTCCAGGTATTTCATACCAGTGAAGCCACACAATAGTTGTCCCTTGTGACTAATGTCACCGAGCATCATGTTCTCAGGGTTCACCCATGTTGTGTCATGGGTCAGGACTCTGTTTCTCTTGGTTGTTGCTATTGTTCGATGGCATCATGTCACTTCTAACTCTCAGCGACCCTATGTGCAACAGAATAAAATACTACCTGCTCCTCACAATTGTTGTTATGGTGAGCCTGTTGCAACCACTGTGTCAATACATCCTTTTGAGGGTTGCACTAGGCCGGTTTGACTAGAGGAACATCCAGAGACACTGATCTATGTATAAGAAAGAACTTTATATCAAGGAATAATTGTATATCAAGAAAACAGCCCAGCCCAGTCCAACTCAAGTCCATAAGTCCGGTGCTAGTCCACAAGTCCCTCTTCAGACTCACATGGTCACAAGCAAGGATGCAGAAGGCAGAAATATCACAGGCTGTGGGTGCAAAGTCTCATGGGTCCAATGGCAGTAGAAGCATCTTCAGGGCTCTGGCAGGTTCCAGCACAGCTCACCAGCAGGAAGGTGAAGGCCGAGGGAGAGAGAGAGAAAAGGTTCCCAGGATGCTCCTTATAAGAAGGCCACAACCACAGGGAGTCATGACCTGAGTGATAGGTGTGGCAGTTACATAATCTGTCAACTTGCAAAGGGGCGGACTCTAGCCTGTCAATCAGATCATAGCCAATGAGGCCTCTGTGTGGGCATGGCCTTCTGCAGAGGATTCTGGGAACTTCATCCCTGGAGGCGAGACACACTCCCTTTCTTTGTCTCCCTGTGAGACATTCCTGTTGACAAGCCACATGGAGACAGCTGATGGCAGCCAGAGCCCTGGAGCTGGAGGAGCCATGTGGAGACCCACACCAGCGCTGAGATGCTTCCACTGCCACTGGATCCACAAGACTTCCCACCCACTGGCCTGTGATCTTCCTGCATTCAGCGTCATTGCATGTGTTTCGTGAGGACTTCATTGGACATATGGGCTAATATCGGACGTATGGACTTGATCTGGACTGGGCTGGGGTGTTTCCTCAATATTCAATTTCTCTTGTCTATAAAGCTCTTCCTTATACACATATGAGTGTCTATGAATTTGTTTCTCTAGTCCACCCAGACTAACACAGCAGGTTAGACTCCACCCCTAAGCTTCTAAATATCACGTTGACACGACATTATCTAACTACCACAAGGGTCTTCCTTGTTTTTCTTTCTGCCCCTCCACTTTAACGAACACGATGTTGTTTTCCAGGGACCAACCTCTCCTGATAGCATGCCCAAATCATCGTATTCCATTGTTAGGCTCTACCACCTCTTCTTTACCTTCATCTGTGGACGGGCATTTGTGTTGTTTCCGCATGGGGGATATTATGAATAGACTCTCTTCTCTGAGTTTCAACTTTATAGATCTACAACCCCTCACCTACAACCCCCCAAAGCTTCAAAGCTCTGAAAACCAGAAAATGTCTTGTAGTCAATTTGGCAGAAAACCCCGAACTGCACGTACATGAGGCAGTGAGGGTCTTGATCGGGCCCTTAGCTTGCTCACATGCTTTTTGCTGTGAGCATCTTTGTGTGTTTGATACAAAAACCTGGAGGTAGAATGTAACAGATGGTGTATTTCCCATGCTACCTTCTGAGAAACAGACAAAGTCTTAAATCTGAAATGTGTCTTGTACACTGCTTAACCTTGCAGGCCCAGCCCCCAATCCTCTCATAAAATGGGGTTGTTCTGAGGGTAAAATAAACCAATCTGGGTCCACAGTCCTTACCCCACACCTGTGGGACCAGCGTGCCCAAGTCTGCACCCCAGCACTTCCACTGTTCGTCTGCCTGGCTCCAGAACCCGTCCTCCTAAGCCCAGAGGTGGCATATAGGACTTGCCTTCCTGTACTCTGACGAAGCCCACTAGTGGGTGCCCCACGGCCAGCATGGGGTAGGCACTGAATGGATGATGACTGAAGACCCATTCAATGCCACCGTGCTGGGCACTCTAGGTGCCAGGCATGGGCTAGAGCAGGTCCCTGCTCACGTAAAGCTGTCCTTGGGAAAGAAGTCTCTGTCATGGATTGAATGGTGTCCCCTCAGATCTATGTAGGAATCCTCACCCCTATATTTGCGCATGCGATCTCATTCTGGAATGGGGTTTTGTTATGTAAATGAGGCTGGATCGGTGTTGGGTACGTCCTAAACCTTATCACTTCTCTGAGTTATATGGAAAGCAGATTCCACACAGAGAAAGGTGTGCAGAGGAAGACGGGTACCAAAGAAGGCCCAGGCCCAGGAAGGAAGGCACAAGGGCAAGGCTCGGATTTGGACTTCTGATCTCCAGACTGAAAAAAACAAAACAAAAACCTTCGCCCCCCCCTTTAAAAACAGCCCCATGTAGTATTTCTATTATAGAAGTGCTGAGAAATGAAGACAGTCAGTATTCTAAGTTTCTGGTAGAGATACAGGGTAGATATGAATGAGGATCGGGAGTCTTCATCGCATGTACTTTGGACGCGTTCCTAGGATAGAGCAGTCCCTGGAGAAGGACATCATGCCTGGTAAAGTCGAGGGGCAGCGAAAAAGAGGAAGGCCTTCCTGAGATGGGTGGACACAGCGGCTGCAGCAGTGGGCTCAGGCTTAAGCACTGTGGAGACGGCTCAGGACTGGGCCGTTTTGTCCTGTGTTGTACCCGGGTCACTATGCGTGGGAACTGACTTGATGGCACCTAACAACCACAAACTGAAGACATACTTTGCAGCCCAGGGACAGGAAAGTCCCCATCTGGGATAGGTGGACGGAAGCGCAAGCAGTTCTGACAGCGGGACCCTGGGTGGCCATTGAGGTGGAGGCCAAGGTTGCCTGAGTGTGTTGCCAAATGCAGCTACAGAACAGGAAACAGCATTTGTTCGATGAACAAATTAATGCATCCAATTCACTAAGCATGCCAGATCCCCCTCTGGTATTCTAACGTGTACCCATAATCTTGTTCATCCTTTTAGAGATTAACTCAAGGCTATAGAAAAACCACACGTAACGGGTTGGGACTGATTCAGCAGACACCATGTAGTGGGATCAATTTATAACTTGTAGGCTATGAACTGAGCTGCTAACCACAAGACTTAAAAGTCTTGGAAAGCCAATGGGGCAATCTTCTCTGCCCAGTAAGATAAGTAGAAGTGAGAATCTGTTTGATGGCATTGATCTGAGTTGGATATATGGTTGGTAAAACCACCAGCCTTCTCTTTCTTCCTAAGAAATCATGACATCTTCAAGAAAAAACGATCACTCAAACGGCCTCTGTTCTGATCCAGGCAGAATCACCTCTTTTGGGGGGATGTCAGCTTCTGTTTGAAGGCCCTTATTGTGAAGCCCTTGCCCAGGTGTGCTTATGGGATGATGAGCAGCATGGCTTTTATCTTCTGAGCTGAGAGCTTGACTTTGGTAGAGATGTTGCTTTGAGACACGTTTCTCTGTACACTGCTCTTTGTTTTCTGCTCCACCTGGTCGAGAAGTACTGTCTCTCTCTCCCCTCACCCTCCACCTTGTCACTGAGTGTTCCCTGCTGGCTCTGTGACCCCTGGCTCAATCAGGCATTGCAATGGTGCTGGGAGGAGTGTTTCAAAACCTCTTTGTCTGAAAAGTCACTTCCTTGCCTAGAGGTTGAGCAAGAAACTGGTGGCAGTGGGATACAGTCTTGAATACTACAGACCTCAGCAGTGTAGGCTCAAATCCCATCTCAACCTCATAGTCAATGTGTGACCATTAGTGAATGGCTGTACCGAAATGGGGAAAACAATAGTACCTACCTCAAAGAGTTAATATATGTAAAGCAGGTGTATAAGTCTGGGTACTTTAGAAAACCAAATCCACAGAAACTCATGTATAAGAGAGAGTTTTATATAAAGGTTAAGTGCACACCAAGAAAACATCCCAACCCAGTGCTGCCCAAGCCCACAAGTCCAACATTAACCCATTAACCCATATGTCCAACACCAGTCCACAAAGTCCTCCTCCATCTCACAAAACAGACACAATGATGCCGACTGCAGAGGGAAAGCCGAGTCAGTGAATGTGTAAGCATCTCAGCGCTGGCAAGGGTCTCCACATGGGTGCTCCAGCACCCAGGGCTGCATCAGGCTAAGTCCATGTGGCTTCACCTTGGGGGATGTCTTGGAAGAAGTCAGTCTTGCAAGCTGAAGCAGGGAACTGCTAAGGCAGCTGCACCCTGGTCCGACCATCATAAAGCAAGAGACCCAAGAACTTGAAAGGTGAGGCTCACCATGCCATTTATCCCTCCGCCCTTCAATTAATCCCATGTGCTTATTGGCCAGGTTGAAACAATAAACTAACTACCTCAGCAGGTT